CGAGCGTAGCGAGAGAGCTATTGATTTAACAATGCTGTTTATTTTTTCTTCTTTTTTTTTTTTCTTTGTTCTAGTCTATGGATACCTTATTTCCTAGTAAACTTGCTCAGATTCTTACGTGTAACAACTTTTCTGAAAGCTTAAGTTGTCTAGATTGTATTTTAGATTGAGGTCATTGTTTGCCGACGCCATTTTTTAAAAAAAAGCACTTAAGTGAGAAAAATCTTAGGTAAACGTACAATTTCACGAGTTCATTATTTTATAAAAACACTTGAAACTTGATAACAATACTTATATTGGGCTTTTCTAGACGTAGTAAAATTTCCAAAATCATCGGATGACTTTATTTTTAATATGTGAAATTTATTAATAAGTTTTGGAATCAAATTTAAACGAAAATTGCAAATAAAATTACGGCACTTCAAATTATGTATTACCGAACTGCGCTCAGAATCGTCTTTCATCAAGCAATGATAAACTCATTGCTTACAGATATAAATGAAATAACCTTATGTATCCTACCTTCCCAACTTTTCACCTTCAACAGTGACTGCTACCATTCCCAGTATTGGCACAGTATTTATTATTTTTTCGAAAAAAAATAGAACCGTTCTATATGTCTGCGAAGAGACAATAATAATCTGCGGTTTATATTTTTTAATCGAAAAACAAAACCATAGCTTTTTTGAAGAACTTTAGATAAAGTTGATGGATTGTTGTGTTTATTTTTCCTTTTCAAAAGAAATGTCATTTTAATTGAGGAAAACCTGAAAAATGTACAGAAATAATGGACAATTATTCAGGATTTCGTTATTTTAAATATTTTCGATTTTATTTTTCTACTGGTAATTTTGCATCGAAATTCAAGCATAGCATGTTTTCTGAAATAAAATTATATGTAGTTATTGTGCAAGATAATGATTTTTGGTTTTCCGTTCAGATTAATAATTTTAAAACCAGGAAGACAAGTATTGTATTTGTTATATTACAACAAATAAAAAAGTTTAAGTGAACGGTTTCATTATTTTCGATTTTTTTTTCAATACTAATTTTCATTGAGGGTGAGGGCGAGATTGAATTTACAAATTTGATTTTAAAGTAAATTACACTAAAACCTAAATTGCTAATAACTGTACAAATTTTAACATCTAAAAAAACATTTAAAACATTAGCACTTTCCACATTTAAAATGTTTTAAAACATATTTTTCCGTACATTAATGTAATCATTGCAATACATATTTAAGTTTGTTTTCAAATAATATACTTAAAAAATTTGGGTTAACAAAACCGGTGGCTGCAATATGTATTACAGGTCATGGGATCTTTTATAATGACAGACGTGCAAGAAACGGCTGTCCACGTTAATTATTTAAAATTAATACGAAAACGGTTGGTGAACAACTACACGAAAATTCGATCGTAAACATTATTTAATAATTTGTTGAAATTATTTTCTTTTTTTTCGTCCTCAAACTATATTATTATTTCAGTCTGTAGTGTTTCTCCTAAATCAATTACGCCACCGGAATCAGATATTTTTCGTTTGCGTTATTAAACATTAATATTGTTAAATTACTGCAGTTATATAAAATGAAAAATATAATTCCAAAATTAATTTGGTGGAAACTGAAATATTATTCGCTATGATAATGAGTGGGTAAATAATGAATTAACTCGAAGACCGAACAAACCTATACCTACCCGATGATTTAATTTTGTAATTTTTTCCTCCTTGAAATTTTACAAATAATAATGGGACTATTGGTTGTTTATAATTCGGTCGGTAGGGAGGTAGTTAACGTCGTTAAATTTGTATTTTCTGCCACCATTATAGCTGGAATCGTATAATTAATTCTGTCCGCCATTGTTCGGTAAATATTTCGTGAGTAGACAAATTGAATTTTAAATGTCAAGTAATTACATAAGGACGTTTTGTAAATAACTATGAATGAATAATAAACGCAATAAGTATCGTTTATCATTTTGCTCTCCTATTGCATCAAACAACTTAATATTATTATAGTTGCCTACATCTCATGTTTAACAAAGTAATATCTAAGGTATCTTATTTATTAGCCTATACGCTCGAAATATACATACATATAAATACATATAATTAACTTAGTTCCTAGGTACCTACGATTATGTAGGTCATTCTGTCCATCTCGAATATTGTGTACTTACCTACCAAGACCGTATACAAACCACACAAAATACAAACACCAAGAAAAAACATACAAAATTCGATTATTTTTATGATAATAATATTAAAGTCACTACGCGCTTGATTCGTTTATTTATTATTTGTCTATTTATCAATTTAATATTCGCAACATTAAATAACCATCGCTCTCAAAATAATGATGATATTTTGGTATACTTGTGTACTTTAAATACAACAATATATATTATCTCCGTCTGTTTTACTATACACGCTCATAAACACTCGTAGATGAATTTTCGCGTAAAAATACGTAAATTTCGTCGACAAATAAATGCATAAAAAATAAGTACACCGTTTTTTTTTTTTTTTTTCAAAATATTCGTAAAAGATCCTGAACTCAAATAAAATAACTACGTTGAGTCGAAACTATTCGCTGATAAAAATAACCGAGTTTTTTTCTCGCATTTTGTTTTGCTTCAACCATATAACATTATAGTCGAGTTAAAAGTCCGTCACTTGCTTTGGTTATTATTGACCTGCAACTATTACAATGTGTTACGAATTTAATATTTGTTTATAGGTATAGTAATATCACGTATGCAAATCGGATCGCGAATGACCTTTTCAGATTTAGTCCGGAATAACACTACAGTGTTTACTGTATCGGTAATACCGCGAAAACCACACTTGTATAATATTAGATCAGCGTTTAGTCTGCATCGTAAGTAGCTGGTCCGATCGATACGGCTATTACTTATGCGGTATTTGTGTCGCCGCTGCCTCACCGCGGTAGGTTATTATGAATACATTACAATAATTTCTCCTTTATATGTATCGGTTTCGTTTAAAACCGCGTTTCGAAATTCCGTATAATATTGCATTATAATGTACATAACATTATGACGCGGATATTTTCAATCAGACATTCGACGGTTTCTTCGGCCTTAAATAAACGTCATACTTACGGTGACGTACGATTCTGCATCATTGGCGTGCGCAAGAGAGATGCCGGGGTATGCCACGGTGGCATACCGTGGTCTGTGGTCTGCGGTACAGTTTTTCGTTCTTAGTTTTTAGTGAGGTATTTCATAAACCGCGTTGTTGACAGTTAAGCTTACGTTTTTTTTTTTTTTTTGTTTTTTAATTTTCATCATGGCTGAGGATATCATTAATCGTGATTTTCATCAAATACATTTTAGTGATAATGAAAGTTGGAAATCGGGTTATCACATCGATGCCCAGACACGTAGCCATTCACGTTGCACATAACTAATAACCATAAAGCAGTGTGATAATATTATTCGCGCAAAAATTTTCAATGTCATCATAATTTTTATCACAAACGTTTTATTTAAGCTTGGATTTTGAGTTGTTTAAAGTTTGAATTTTTTTTTTATACTTAAAAAAAGTTAAATTTAAAATTATATTTTTACTTATATATATTATTAACTATCGTTTTGTGAACATAATAGTTGTGTAAAAAGAAATTTCGATTTATGTCTTTGTGAATAAAGTTAAAATTCGTCTATTTTGAAATAAACCAGCCACTGGCATCACCAGCAAAAAATTACTGCACACGACTATGTTTTACACACATAAATATTATTATTGACAGAGACTCACGGCGAACAGTGAGATGCGCCGAAGCGTTTGAAGAGCATACAGTATAATATTTGAACACGGTGGCATACATACGTATAATACCAGTGTACACTGAATTCGCGGTACAGTGGCAGAGCAATCTTAGCTGCACAAGACACAGTGGAAATGGACCTTTCGGCTTTTAATTTAATTTTCTTGTAGTCGTCCGTTATTAATTACATTAGTCAGCCCCGGAGTGTAACCTGCTAGTACAAATGTCACTTCTGCTGCGAGAGATCAATAAGATCAGAGCCGAGTGGTATATAACATATAAAATGGGCGGCTACGGCGGTTCTGTCGATATTTTATATTACATTATTATATTTTAGGTTTATGCGACATTGTTAATAATTAAAATTAAAGATTTCAGTTTAATATTTTTTATAAATATATAATTAAAATTCTTAACAGAAAAAGATGCTTGTATCGGCGTTTTTAATAATTATAATAATAAAAAAAAAAAAACTTCTTGAATGTAAAATAATTCTCGTTCACTAGCAAAGGAATTCTGTGATTGTAATAGAACGATATTATATTAAGGAAATGTCGCACACTTATTCAGCTGTTCAACAACAAGAAATCCGTCTGAGTTGTTTGACAAACGATATTTATCGTTTTCTCAAAGCGAGACTTCTAAATTTACTTCAGTGGACTTTTATTGTATTAAAACAAAAGAGGAAATTAACGGTCAGTATTTGTATTATTATTATTTGAATTCGCAATAATAATAAAACCTGTTATTATTGCCAGCTGAATTTGTATAATATTATAATACATTATTCGTTTTACGCAGTAATAAACATCGATAGTCCGTGAAAAGAAAAAACAGTAACTTTAATTATTTAGAAATTATGAATACAACCGTGTACAAACAATGAATGCTTATGCTTATAAACATAACAATATACAAACGATGGTAGGTAAATATATGACCGTGTTAAGTACGTATATAACATATTATAGAATATGTAACGCGAGAACATTTTACATTTTTAATTGTATTTCAATTTATAATTATAAATCCTCGAGACACGGTGTAGGTATATAATACAAAGCAACCGCTTATTTAAAAATAAAAATTAGACAGTCGTTTCACCATCATAAATAAGGGTGATAAAACAAAATTGAAATGTAAAATTCTTAAACTACTTTCTAAGGTTATGAGTAAATAATGATATAAAAAAGATCCACATAAATGGATCACCCGGTATTATGGAAATATTCTTCATTTTTTTCTTCTTCTATAGCTTAATAGTCCTATTGTAGGACCTGAGCTGCAATCAAACATTTCCATCGCACCCTGTCAAATGCAAGTTCCACTGAAGCATTTTTATCCACCGTCCTTTTCTACTGCATCTTTCCATCTCGTTTGTGGCCTACTTAGTGGTCTAGTCTTATAAATGGTTTCGTTAAGGACTATTTTTATTAAATCGTTTTCGCCCCTTCACACGTATCCAAAACAATATAATCGCCTTAGATACATCATATTTGGTTTGTTTTCCATACAGATTCTATAAGTCTTAATTTTAGATTCTGAGTGGAGTGAAGAAGGTTATGGTTTTACAATGATGTTTATTTATTTACTTACTTTAAACGGGAACAATTTTTCTAGCAGAAATCCGGATACTTTAGGAAAGTCGTTTATTTGATTTTCTTAAGAGTTTTCTCAATATATTGGAAAACTCGGAAAAAACGGAAACTATGTACAATGTTAAACAAATATTATTAAAGAAAATGCATATGTAATTATTGTGACATATATTGTTGACAAAGCAACACTATCAACTGAACTTCGCTCAGAATTGTTTTTTCATTAGCAATGGTATATCGTTACTTATAGATATACATTAAATTATCATGTGTATCCTACCTTCCCAAATTTTTTTTTTCTTTATTCAAACGTTCTTTTTTCTGTATTATACACTGCACCGAAATTGTTTCTGAGTAGGTATCTTACTTTCAAATATTGCTAGCTTATTGTTGTACTCTATTGTTTTGGTCCGTGTTTCGCACCCGTAGGTATCTATTGGTCTCAGATAGCTTATGTAAAGCAAGGTTTTTGACTATTATATAATTATAAAATACGTATTCCGACTGCATAATATGAATATAATACGTATACACGCTACAAGTACACATCAATCTGAAGGCAAAAATGAAAGAAAATAACGTCAATCTATTACTTAATAAATACTTCAAAATGAATTTCTCTATATAGATACATAGATAATAAAACGAAGCGTAAAAATAGTACTCGACTGATGGCGTCACGTCCTTTGACCGTTTAAATGCGATAAAAACCGATCCTTGTCCATAAGTGATACTGTATTATTTGCACGAGTCTATTTAATACCAAACACGTTTCACGGGATTCGATTAACGGACGTAAATAAACCTTTTATAATCACGTGTGACACCCATACGTACATAGTATTGTCAAATCGTCTTTGTTCTTATACAGTGTGTCCCTGGCGAAATAATGTATCAAAACTAACTTTGGGTGAATATACCCAGTTCTCCCAGGTTGATAAGAAAATGATAAAAAAAAAAACATTTATCTATGCCATCTTCGAATTATAAAAACTTCATCCTAACTCCAAACCTGATACTGTTCCAAAGAAATTAATGTTCTAAACCTAAAACTTAAGATTTTGAGTGATTGAAAAACAACGTTAGATGTAACTAATAGTAGGAATAAAAAAAAGTCACATCTTGTAGGTGACGTTTTGAAATAGAAAAGTCGATAATTCAATATTAATTTATCACATATTTAAAACAATATTTGCAAAAAACCTTTCTGATCCTATATGCGAAATGCTGAATTTCAAACCTTGCTATACATCCGTAGAGCATACCGATCACGGAATTCCAAGAAGGGCGTACATGATTTTCGTATCACTATTGTTGTTTCCAACCTTTATGTGAGACATTTGTGCACTGTTTAATGTTTGAGCCATACATTATTTGCGTACTGTTCGTTCACTTTGTGCCAAAATATCGCACATCATTTGCGAATCAACATATTTAACAATAGAAAGAATTAAAGGGATTAAAAGCAGGTATCCAAACGTGTAGATTATTTCCTAGCTTTTAGCTTACAATCCAACCTCGACCGATATATTTATCGCACACGTAATTTCAATTTATTTGATTTTGACAAAAATATGTTCAAATATTGTAAAAGTATTTCTGTTTTGAAATATATACAATATACGTAATACATACCTATAATGACGATAACAGGTTAAATGTAACACCAGTTGATCGATACATTGTATTTGATTTTACATTATCGACCAGATATTATCAAATAGTGTAATAGTTGGACGTAGTTGACGTCTATAAGTAAATTTTCACCGTTGTACTTTAAAATGATTAGGTAACTCTATGGAAAATTGTTTTACCTATTGTCTGATAAATTGATGTATAAATGAAAAACGATATTTTGAAGCGGGTAAATACGATACAAAAATGATGATCGTCGTTCAAGGTTCGAGAAACTCTTTCGTGTAAAAATATTAAAAACAACGTCTGGAACTTTTAACTCCATAAATTACCACTGAGGATAAACGGTAACACTACGGAAGGACCACAGTGATCACACATGACTGTCTATATATTTTTTTTTTAGGGACGTCCCGGATCCCTGACCGTTTCTGAAATATTTATCGTATAATAATAAGTATCATGTTTTATTATAATATATGTAATATATATATAATATAAAATTCAACGTTTACGACCGTTGAAATTTACATTTTATTTCTTGGAAGTTATTCACGTGAAATATTATAATTTCAAAAAAAAAAAAAGGACTGCAAATCTGGGCACCCCAGCTCCGTCACTATAAAGTAAAATTATGTCCCGCCTATTTTTTATTATAATAAACATATATTTATTTTTATAAAACAATAAATAACTAAAATACTATAATAATACAATACTATTATTACTACCTATACTACAAATAGACTGCTTTCAGAAAAAAAAAAAACGTAAAATATGAATACAACAATGGTCTTGGGAATGGGTGTATTAATTTTCAACCCTCAAAAAACACATCATTATCTCTTATAGATCAAAAAGATTTTTTTCATCGTTTTTTTTTTCAATTTTCTTGTATAACTTTCTTATATAGATACACCTAAGTGAACACTAAATAAATATTGAAAAAAAATTATCACATTTTACCAAGAGGTTAAATGTTATATGCTTTAGTCGTGTAAGGTCGGTCTGAACAAAGTAGAATAAAATATATATACAAAACAGAAAAAAAATCGTACCCTCACGATTGTAGCATGGTAGTCTTTAAGGGTTTTAACAACAATGAAATGCATATTACACTTTACTACATTTTCTTCCCCTTAGCTCCTGCATTTTGATGAGGTTGGGAGAAGATATTTAAAGGTGTTTAAAAGTCAAAAACCACTAGCTCAATTCCACAACAATTAACATTATAAATGTCATATTTAAACTAAATCTAACATTTTCACTTCAATCTGCCTATAAAACAATTTTAGTTTCCGAAATTATGTTAGTTTGGTCCTGAAGAAAGCCGCTAAATGTTGTCAAAAATGGCGGGGAAGAAATATTTAATAGACACAACACAAAATATAATACCATTCCTAGTCTCTATTTTCAGGGGAAATTTGACGAAAAACTTATGTTCAATATTAATATTATAAAACTCAATCAATACAAAGATTGAAACACATTGATAAAAATATGATATTATTCGTATGATTAAATTTCGAAAATATTCGTTGGATACAAAAAAAAAAAAAATCAAATTTATTCAAATGATTTTTTTTTCAGTATGCTAATATATTTGTCAAATATTGTCACGTACAACAATAGTTATTGTCTATAGACGTTTTGTCTACCTATGTTTATGTATAACTATAGGAGCAATCGTTTAGAATAATTGTTGAGACCTGAAATGTTCAAAGAATATTTATATTAGTCATTTCTAGACGTGGCTAACTTTTTATAATATTTTTTAAAAATATATGCTGGTTATTAACATTTGAAGTTTTATTTTTTTTAATTTGTATTAATTTCTATGTGGATACAATTGTTTTCGCGAAACACAAAAACATGAAAATTTACCACGAGTATGACTATAGGTACCTATATATATATATATATATATTTGATGGAAAAAAAGCCGGTTCAAAGTAAAAATTGCGAAAATAGTAAAAATCCAGGAATTTCAAAACATGATATTTAACTAGACTTTTACTCAGAATCGTATTTTGTTAGCAATAATTCATCGTTGCATACAGATATAAATTATATAAATGTATGTATTTTACCATTTTTTTTTTTTTTTTTTTACATTAATTTTTATTAACGATAATACTTGCATTATAGTTATAGTTGTTTATGTGAGTTTTTAAAAATGTTAAATGAAAAATAAAAAAGTAATCGTGTTCAGCCGTCCACGTAGTGTCACTAAAATTATGATATGTTATTTAATATATTACATATTATTATATTTAGGTACCTACACATGAGTTCACCGGGACACTGAATATAATATTGCGTTTATAATTTTTTATAGACCGATAAATACTGCACCAGCCATCAGATGATAATAATATTATTTAATTGGGATCCAATTAAATACAAATGTACCTGCATATAAATTTGATTAGAAGAGTGAATTTACAATTCTTATATTCTACATTTTAAGCACTTAGATATTTATTTGATTACTAAAACCTCATTTGAGCAAATCGTATTTAATAATGGTTAAATTTAGTTTATAAACCAGTAAAATAGGGTGGCCGAAGGAGGGCCATGGAGGCTTCAGCTGGAACAGTTTAAGGGGATGCTGAAGCCCCCCTCATTGGCCATATCAAAACCAAAAAAAAAAAAATGATATAAACTATTCAACTGTTCAGAATTGACAAATTATCATAAAGGAAGGATCCACCCAATGTCTCACTCAGCTACACCACTGGCTATTAAGATAAGAAACGTTAGGGGTCAGCTGGTTGACAGTTCAAATCTTATCAGTGTTATAATTTGCTTGCATTGTTTTTTTTTCTTAATTACATAAACAAACTTTGAAACATAGATTCACCAATATTATAGACATTTTCTAAGAATATTAAAAGCACATATTATATTCGGATTCATAGAATATTCTTTGGTATTTTTTAAAGAATATTATCATGGCGTAATATACAATATTCTTAGATTGGTTTATGTACATTATATTACTATGTTTTTTTTAATTATTTAGTTCTAACAAAATAGTCTTTTATGGATTAAAATCAATGCATTATAGCTTTATCATAAAATAAAATTAGATCGTAAAAAATAGTGAAGAATATTATATGAACGAACTTGTTAACCGACATCTTCTTTTTAATAAATGAAAACATGATAGTTGTGTTTGGAATTTAAATTTTTCAAGTGACGATAAAAACGTTTTATTTCGGCCAAAAGAAAATGTTTTTCCTATATTTTAAATTTAAATTTAATTAAACATTAAGATTAATCATCATTTTCGCAGTTTATATTAACTTATGCACTTTGTGGATATAATTATTATGACTAATCACTTTTCTCACGATATTATAAGACTTATAATATTAGTACTTTTATAATACTGCAGGGAAAAAATACTGATATCAAGAAACTCTTTAAAAAATTATAAATAAGAATTTGCATGGCATTGTTATGACAAATAAATAATTGTACATTTTTACTAGGTATACTTTTCCAAGATGTAGGCACTGATAAAAGTCGAAGAAATGAAGCCAGCAGAATTTAAATGAAAAGTTCTAAGACAAATATATGGCCCATTTTTTTGATAATCAATCCACTGAGTAGAAGAATCGGGAAATTATATAATAACGAACTCTGAATACAATTTTGAATTCTAGATATAGTTAAAGAGATCATTAAAAGAAAAATAATATATGTTGGAGTAAGTAAGGCGTGGTGTATAATTGAAGTAGACCCCATAAGAAATATACATTTAGGAAGGGCAAGGTTAAGGTGGAAAGACTATATAAATCGTTAAGACAGTAAAACAGGAAATCATTTGAAGGGAAGTTACAATAAACAGAAATATATATGTCAAGAGTGTTTTTAGCGTAGTATTTAGCGTCATGGTTTTAAAGACCCAACGAAAAAGAGAGATTTTATAATGCTTGCCAAAAAAAAAATCATATAATTTTTCACGTTTATCATAATTAAATATTGATTCGTCACATTTCTCACAGAAAATATTTATCTGAAAGTGCTACTAAACATGGTACAAAATGTCAAACGAAATCGACTTTTATCCGGTACAAATTTTCTATATAAATTATAAACTGTAGTGACCGCGAGAATTATTTCGGTAAGTCATACCTAGTTCGTGGTGGTATGATTAAGAAAAATGAAAATTTAACGATGAAAAAAAACCCAATGATTAAATATTGAAATTTAGCTGTTATTATAACCCATACACAAAACGTCTTTTCTTTGTTTCCACTGAATTCATTCAAAAGGTCATAAAAAAGACTTTTTATGTGGTAATTAATCGTGTCAACAGCAATGTCTGCAGATAATAGAAAGCTTTTTATGCATATCAATAATTGACAAAATATTAGTAAAATATAACAATTACAAAATGTAAGTATACACGACTACTGACATTTTAAAAGAATTGCGCATTATGATTGCGTTTTTTTTTAAATTGTTAAAGATTCAGTAACGGCCGGATGCGACTCAAAAGTTCCCACGAGGCAAATTTTTCAAAAATAACACTTGGAAATTTTATTGCGCACCTATTATAATAATTTATTATAGTTTGTACCAGGTTTTAGTATACCATAAATTATAATACCTATACAATATATATGGGAAAAGTTTAAATATTCACAAAATGAATAATATTATTTGACCTGATACAATATTGCAAATTATTACTTTTATTCATGTCTACAAAATATAGGCACATAATATATATTATAAGTATTAAATATATACAAAACAAAAAAGGCTGATACTGTCCATGGGTTTGGATACAAGTTAGAAGTTCGTTTAAACATGGCTTGAAATACTTTACTTTAAACGCTTATGCAAATAAATGAAACGTTAATTTTTTTTTTTTTACCACTAAATGAAATTTATAACGAACTTCATGTTAAATTTTCAACAAAAAACGAAAAAATTTAATATAATAAAATCAAAAACGCGACGCTCCATAATTATTTGTCCGTTTTTCTTACAAGCACGTTTTTTCCAGTTTTTAACAATTATAAAAACCGTTTGAAAAATCCATAAACAATGCAGCAAAAGAGTTTTCTCAGCAATTTTTGATAAGAGTAAGATTTCTAGTGAACTAATTGTAAATATTCATAAAAAGAAAAAAAACTGATACCTGGGCCGGGTGCGCCAGTGTTGTAGGTGGAAAGTTTGAAAGATAAGATACATAAAGTTATTTAATTTAGACATGTAAATAACGATAAACCATTGCTAATGAAAAACAATTCAGAGCAAGTTTCTTCGGCTGTATATATTTTGAATGCTAATTTTACGATTTTCGTCAAAATTTAATTTTAACACTTATAAAATAAAAAAAATTTTACAGAACTCAATTCTTTTTTTTGAATGAATTAATGAACGTTCTGTCAAATTTTCAAGCATTTTTATTTACTATTTAGTCTAACAATTTTGTTCAAAGAGTACTTACCAAATAAAAATTATGCAAAACTTCTAAAATGAAAATGTCCATAAATAGTTCAAAACTGCCTTAGACATTTTAAAAGGCAAATATTAGTTATACATCGAAATTTCAAGTCACTACGAATATGCTACTTAATTACAACAAAAATTCAAATTGGAAAATAATAAAAGAATAATTTTTGTAGATTTTCCCGTTCATTCTACGTTTTTTTTTGCTCAATTATTAAAACACACAAACAATTACAGGGAATATTATAAAATGACTTTCTTAGTCAACAACTAGATTAAAAATTCAACAAAAAAAATATCATTTGTCATTTTTCTATTGGATCAATATTTCTGGTAATAAACATAAAGCGTAAAAATGTAAAATAATGAAGTTGTAACGCTGTAGATTTGTCAGTTTTCATTGAACATTTTTCTCTGGTTATTCTAAATTATTATGAGAAATACTTCGAAAATTAAAAAACAAATTTCTATGTTATCAATGAGATTAAAAATTCAACAATAAAGATGTCATGTGGTTTTTCTATTGAAATAATATTTTTGGTAGAAAACATAACCCGTAAAATTTAAAATAAAGGAATCCGAACATCGTAAATTTGTTCGTTTATCATTTTTCTTTTTCCAGTTTTCCCAATTATTTGAAACACGACTTGGAAAATCAATAGATAACCTCTCTCGTGCACCAATAAAGCAAGATTTCCTTTCAAAAATAAGTACTAAACACGATTTCTGGTAAAAAAGTGTTTTACAT